AAGATTGGTCCAAAATGCCACTGAATGACTTAAGCTAGTACATCCAAGCTTTTATCTGTTTATTGCTATCGATTGAGTCCTCAAAGATCTATTTCATCTGTTTGCTCCCTCAATGACCGTCAACCAATTCCATCCGATCAATGGCTCAATCAGGTGAAAATAAATGTTTGAGGGTTCAATTTATTGCAATAAGATATGGATTTGGATGGGTTTTCTTAATTACATGTGTATATATTTATATATAGTTTAGGGGATCTTTTACATTTAAGCCCTAAAATTTCAGGCAAATAGCCAGCATCCAATAGCCAAAGCTTTCCTGGAGCATGCTAGAAAATGGAAGATAGAATCTGACAATCAATCCGATAACCAACATCTCATGGAGGCAAAGGACTTTGAGTTGCACCCTGGCACTGGGGTGAGCAGGAAAGTTGGTGACAAAATGGTCTTGGTTGGTAACAAGAAGCTTATGCAGACTTATGATGTCACATTTGGTCCTGAGGTTGAGGGCTACATTTCAGAAAATGAGAAGCTGGCTCGAACATGTGTCTTAGTTGCCATTGATGGTGAAATTGCTGGAGCTTTTGCAGTAACCGATCCAGTGAAACCAGAAGCTGAGCATGTCATATCATATCTTCGCTCAATGGGCATCTCAAGCATCATGGTAACCGGTGATAACTGGGCTACTGCAACTGCCATAGCAAAAGAGGTTGGAATAGAGAAGGTGATAGCCGAAACGGATCCAATGGGAAAAGCTGATAGGATCAAAGAATTGCAGGCAAGCTTCTTTTCTTTTTCCTCTCGTTTTGTTTTTCAATTTTACATGGCTTGATCCTATGAAAAACTATTCATGTGTGAAAAGGTTGTGAAATGTTCAGCATTAGAAAGTAGAAAAATACATTTATCATATGCTATGAACAATAATTTTCTGAGGCATGGTGTTCTAGTAATTTTCAATATATAAATTGGGATGAACGGTGGGGGTAAGAAAGAGGGCTTCATATCTGGCTAGCCTTGAAAAAGTGCCTAGAAGGGCTTCAGTGTAAATTATAGTTTAATCTACAAGTTCAAGTCTTCATGCGTGAAGCAGATAACATCATTTGATTAATTTTCTCTCTTGTAAACATGGGATGCATGAAGGGTTTGACTGTTGCTATGGTGGGAGATGGAATAAACGACTCCCCTGCTTTAGTTGCAGCTGATGTAGGCATGTGATAACTCCGTAAAAGGTCACATTTTTGTACCTTTTTACTTAAGTTATTGAATGCCTAAAAGACCATTTAGAACCATTTAGATGCATTTAGGAGCATATAGTGCATGTGTGGATTTCATTTGCCGTGGCATATTTTTTTACAGCGGTGCTGCTTTATGGGAAGGTACTTGTCTGATGTGCAGGTGTTGAAAGCACAGAAAAGAGGATTTAAAATGTCGTGACATAAGGATGCTGAGCTAAATAAAAATGCCAAGTTCAAATGGCATTTCAGAGCGTACAAGGAGAGAGAAGATATTTTCTAGCCAGCTGTCCCGGATTTTACGCATGCTCTGCCCGAGATACCCACCGCAACATGGCGCTTCAACCACCGGTTCTGTTGATGACATTGCCTAGTCTGACCCTGCAGATCCTGTCGGTCCTAGGGCGCCTGTAGCAGGATTATGCCAGTCTGCTAGACTCCCAAGCAACTCAATCATGGTTTTGGGGTTTTCTAGGATGGTTAACACCAAACCTTAGGATTTCTTTTCCCCTATAAATAGAGGAGGAAGCCATATTGATGGGGATTTTAGTTCCAACCATATTTGATCTTAAAAAGTTAGAGAGAGAAAGTCTCATCTTTCTCCGTCAATCCCACTTGCCGTGGCATTTCTCCTTGACTAGCAGAAGGGAGTGGCGTTCTGAGCATCCGAGAGGAGCCAGTCCGCTAAGAGCAGCTCGTGGTGGCAGAGGGAAGCATTAGGCAGTGCACGTCGAAGGCTTTTTCTCCTCCCCTTAGTACTTGCTTTTATATTTTGTTGTTGGGTTGTAAGGAACGAATGAATCTTGCTTTGTGCTTGTTGATTTCGAACCCCACCATGAACTAATCCTATTTGGTGGGAGTTTGCATGGATATTTAAGTTTTTATTTTAATGAATGGTTGTTGTTTCATGCTCTATTCTGTTTTGTTTATGATGCTTAAAGCCTTGAGGTTGTAGGAGCTACGAGAGTAGCCTTTCCTTAGGAGGGTTCATGAGGTTCGAGAATGCCTTGGCAATTTATCTTTAGTCTTCGAGAGAAGCTAGGGAGAAACTACATAAACAACGGTTCTAGATAGTAACTAGGCCTAATCCACCTTAGAGATAAGATAGGATTTCATTCGATTAAAAGGAGTTGTGTATAACGATAGGTTAGATGTTAATGCCGCAAAAGGTATTACCGAGACATATTCTATTAGCTGAGTCAATAGGATCACTGCTTGGGCTTACGCCAATCGGTTTTGCCAGGGTATCTTTAGTCTGTCGAGTCCCTTACTAGAGATAGCATAGGGCACGTCAGTAGATTCTGTCGGGCAGGGTAAGCATAGAAGAAGCACCATTCAGAGAAATAAACTTAAGTTTTCCTTGTGTCTCCCATCACTCATTTCCATTGCTGCTTGTCTTGTGAGAAAGCTAAAGTCCTACATATATTAAATCTAGTATTTGCATTTTTATTTTGCCTTGACATTTCCATTTGTTTTCACGTATCACAATTTAATTTGCTACGACATATCCATCTGCTACCACACTATCACCACTCCATTTCCACTACGTCCATTCCATTTTGCCACTGCATTCTCATCTGTATATACCATAAATAACTTTACTTAGGTGACAAAGTAAAGTGCCTTGACAAACCTATTTGATTTCTCCAATTTCCTGTGGAGACGATACTATACTCATCACTTTATTACTTGTTCGATTGTGTATACTTGCACACATATCCGCATCATATTTTAGTACTCACAAATAGCGGACAGCATGGCAATTGGTGCTGGTACTGATGTAGCCATAGAGGCAGCTGACGTAGTACTTATCAAAAGCAACTTGGAAGACGTAATTACGGCAATAGACCTGTCCAGAAAGACCATTTCACGCATTTGGCTTAACTATGTGTGGGCCCTTGGTTATAACATTCTGGGCGTGCCAATTGCTGCTGGAATCTTATACCCTTTCACTGGAGTCAGGTTACCACTTGGCTAGCCGGTGCATGCATGGCCGCCTCCTCTTTCAGCGTCGTTTGTTCTTCTCTATTGTTGCAGTCTTATAGGAAGCCTTCGGTATTTTAAGATTCAAAAGGACACAGCCATTGCTCCAAATCCACATGATGGGGTATTTTCTGGTAATTCATATTTGATTGCATATTATCGGTTTTTAACATGTAAATTTAGAAGGCCCTTCGATTATTACCGGTTCCAGGTTCTGAATCAGTCAATGTTATTGCTAAGCATTTGTTTGCAACCAAGGCTAATATCACATGTTCTCGAAAATGGTACTTCAGGAAACTAGGATATGATATAGTTGTATTTCTTGTATGACAAAATGTTAAGTTTGTCATTTCGGATTATTGGATCATTCTGAACGAGAAAATTGAAATACATGAAACATTATGGATATAAACCTCTCTATATTTTAGGGACACAAACTGTTTCATGTTGTTGTAGCTTTGTAATGCTTGCAAATGCATGTCATTTCGTGTTTCAAACATTTCATCTGATTTCGAGAACCGTTCAGATTTCTGTCTTCATTATTATCACTTGGTAGTGTTTAACTGTTATGGATTATAGCCGGAAGCTGGGGTAGCAAGTTGAGAAGAATGAGCTGAGAAAAGAAACACCAGGCTGCTTGCTATTCTTCAGCTCTCCTTTTTTTCCCTTCCATACAAAAGCTTGAGCCACTAATGATGAATCTTTTTAATTGAATGATCTTCATCTAATGAGGTTCTAATTTGATATTGACAACATATTCTATTAAATATTAAACTTGATTTAGTAATAATGCATTTTTATACACACTCAGCAGACTTGGTTTCGAATTCTCCTTCAATCCTTTTTGTTTCCATTTAATTTTGACCAATAAAGTAACCTTTAACATGTCTTAAACCTTAATATTCCGAGGTTCAATCCACTCTGCTCCCACTTTAGACTTTAATTTTCTTTATACAATCAGATGGTGACATGTGTCATTATCTGATTGAATGATTAAATTTGTTAAATTAAATTAAAATTAAGACTAAAATGATAAAATATATAAATAATGAGAACCAAATATAAAATTATACAAATTTGTTTAAGCGTTGTGTGAATATTTTTGTTAACATGACATTGACTTAATTAATATTATTTAAATAATTAAATAATTTGATTTATAAAATTAATAAATTAGTAATTGAAAATAGAGAATTTTTTTTATCCTAAAAAATAAAAGAGAATTTTTCAGGTGTATGAAAATATAGTTCCATGTTCTGTTGCAATTCAATGGGAGCTTCCCTTCAACAATATTTATACATATACTGCTCCACATTTTAAGGTTGGCCAAGTCTTTTCATCCATTTATTTTATTTTAATTTTTCCATTTACATGATTTATGTGATGTGTGATTGTTCAAGTGCTAACTGTTTTATTCTTCTTTGGGTTCAATGGACATGCTTTCATTTCGGCTCATTCTGCTCTTGCTCTTGTATTTTAACTCCTCTTTCTTCTTCTTCTTCTTATAAACCCCATTTCAGGCCTTTGTTACTTGTATCTCTCTAATTTGTTCATATCCTTTTACAGGCCAGTCAGTAATTTATAGTCTTAATAATTCTTTTTATGTAGATATGATTTTTCTTTTATCTTCTTCACATAAAATGAACATTTGATCTTACTTTGAAAGAATAAAAGTTGCTTTTTATATCTTCATGTCATGTTCGTGTTATTTTTATTTTTATATCGTTTTTTTCCCGAAGTTCTGTTCTTCCCCGGCTCGTTATAATCATAATATTTGGGTTCTTTGATTAGGTTGTTTGTGGAGAAATGATGGCTGATAGGCACCAACATCCTTCTGTCATGCAAAAGGTTGCTGGACAATTTCATCTCGGTTCGAACCTTTCACAAGATGTTCGATACCGGTACGGAGGATTCCGAAGGCCTGTCCCAAATCAGAGGCGTTTTGCATCTGCAAGTTGCAATGCAGCACTACGGCATCCCATGACACAGGCATGCCGAGTAAACTATGATCTCTCGATTGTTGGTTTGAGTTCATCGCCTTTATGTGTCCAGGCTCCATCGGAGAAAGGCATTTCGGGTTTCGCGATCGATTTTCTCATGGGCGGAGTCTCTGCTGCTGTGTCCAAAACTGCTGCTGCACCTATTGAACGTGTCAAGCTCTTAATTCAAAACCAGGATGAGATGATTAGGGCGGGTCGGCTTTCCGAACCTTACAAGGGAATTGGTGATTGCTTTAAAAGAACAATGGCAGAAGAAGGCGTGATGTCATTGTGGAGAGGAAATACGGCTAACGTGATCCGTTATTTCCCAACTCAAGCCTTGAACTTTGCCTTCAAGGATTACTTCAAAAAGCTGTTCAACTTTAGGAAGGACCGTGATGGTTACTGGAAGTGGTTTGCTGGGAACTTGGGATCCGGTGGTGCAGCGGGTGCCTCTTCCCTTCTCTTCGTCTATTCCCTGGATTATGCTCGAACTCGTCTTGCCAACGATGCCAAAGCTGCAAAGAAAGGTGGGGAGAGGCAGTTCAATGGTTTGGTTGATGTATACAAGAAGACTCTTCAGTCAGATGGTATTGCTGGCCTTTACCGCGGTTTCAACATTTCATGTGTCGGTATCATTGTGTACCGAGGTCTATACTTCGGAATGTATGATTCTTTAAAGCCAGTGATCCTTGTTGGCAAGTTGCAGGTCAGTAGATTTCTTGGTGGTCTTTTGGACTATAATTTCCTTTCATTCTTTGGCTTTATTTTGCATCAAGTAACATTCACTCTATCTTGTGGTAATAAAGTGAAGCCAAAGGGACTTTCTCACCTGCAATTTTTTGTTGTTGTCGTAAAATATCAGGATAGCTTCTTCGCTAGCTTTGCTCTGGGTTGGGTTATTACAAATGGTGCCGGTCTTGCCTCCTACCCGATCGACACAGTCCGCAGAAGAATGATGATGACATCGGGTGAAGCCGTCAAGTACAAGAGCTCAATGGATGCGTTCACGCAGATCCTTAAGAGGGAGGGCACGAAGTCTCTGTTTAAGGGAGCCGGTGCAAACATTCTGCGTGCGATTGCTGGTGCTGGTGTGCTTGCAGGCTATGATAAGCTCCAGATGATTGTTTTCGGAAAGAAGTACGGTTCTGGTGGGGCATGATCATGCCAACTACAGATGGTGATCAAATTCATATGCAAATTTATCTATTACCTTCCACATTTTGTCTTGCTGATCGCAAATATATATAATATTTTTCTCATTTGAATAACTTAGTTTAGAGGGGTTGTCTAGTCTCCTAGAAGAACATTGTGGTGCTCTTGGGATGAAATTTTTACCCCATTTATCTTAACTATTTGAGTGGTTGTAACCTTACATATTACATCACTACTTTTTGGAATTATATTCACTTTTTGGTTTTCTAATATTGGTTTATAATTAATTAATAGCGTTTTTTCACTATCAATCATTAAATAATTGAGCTATGCAACTAACAAACCGGAATGCATATGAACAATGATCACAAGTGTCGGCATCATCGAGTATAGGTGCCACAAATGTCTTGAATTGTGCTAAAATCATCATGTAGAGGCTGCATGCTCTTAAGGAAGACGCGGTTGGTTGACTCCGTTACCAGTTTCTGAGTCTAACTGGGTTTGATTTTAGATGTGTTTGATGCAGAGCTTTTGGATTATCTTTAACCAATGACAATGATCTTTGCAATAATGTAATGGGAAAAAGTTTAATGATGGGTACTGAGCAATGATAATGTTTCTTTTCACCGTTTTCATTGGATTCTTGACAGAGCATGCATATGAGATAATTGGAGTAATCAAGAACCAAACATGATTATGTGGGTTAATCTTTTCAAAATCCCATCACGCCAGTGAGACTGGAGGCTGCTTGGAGAAGTACATGTAGTTTAAGGAAAAAGGTAGTACCAAAGGTTGTGCTTACATGTTGTCGAAGACCTCTCGTTTTAGCGACACGAATTGCGTCCTTAGGCTAATGAGATGATTCATTGAAACAATGGATTGGATTCCAGAAACGTGTGTTCCATTAATCTTGAACCTGCACATACTGTTGAGAGTTCAGATTTTAGACAGATTTTCCTTATTCAGGTGCCCTTAGTCTGTATAGTTACTGCAGCTAAGTTTAGTATATATCCGTCTTCCGTGTTCTTTATCTGCTTTGTTCTGTTAGGGTACTCGACAAATCTCTGGAGCCATACCTTGGAACTGATTGAAAAGCCAAATTTCATCCTCCTGCTGATGCATGAAGCTTTTTAACATTACTAGGCCACGGGAAAGAATTAAGAGCTGAGAAATGCTTACTTTTGCGTTGCATCTTGAGTGTACTAATTCCTATTGACATGAGTTTGGTTTTACTGCATGAGTTTTAGCACTTTAAAGATTCTGTTGACACAAAGTGTAGAGACAAAAAGAATGTAGGAATATAATGATTGGCAGGGCAGTGATGGATTACTTGCACGCTAGGTTTGGTTTTGTTCTCTCTCATTCATAATTGTTTGTCTGCTTTCTCTGCCATCTCTCTCTCCCACATGCCTTGCAGCTTTTGGTTTGTGGATGATGGAATGGCAGTGATGATCCTCACCCTCCTTTGCCTTTGGTAGATTGTGTAGACTCCAACCTGTAAAAAGTTTTTATTATTATTGGACCAACAAAATCATTGGGATGCATGCAGCCTGCTGCACCACTCAACTTCTTTTTTTCTCCTGTGGATCTGCATGCTTTATCATTTACACCAAGAACCCATCTTCTACTTGTTTCAACTAATGGGGAAACCAAGTTTTACAAGACTTCATTACTCCATACACAGTAAATTTAAAGAAACTTAAAGGTAAAGTACCGAAATTATCACTAAATTATGCTAAAATGTATTTTTTATTATTAAATTTTCTAAAGTGTTATAAAATGGTCATTGTATTATAAAATGTTGATAAATTATAACAAGTTAAATGATCATTTTGTAACAGTTCGATAAGTTTAATACAATATATGTAAAGATTCTCTAGGATAATTTACATTATAAGTCACTTAATTTAGCATCAATTTTTATTGAAGCCATAAATCTTTGATTTCATCAAATTCTATCACTAAACTTTTAGTATTAATCACTTATACTACCTTAAGTAATTCTAATAGAAATGTTGGCTCAGCATCTATCCATGACTTTGCATAATATCCTAAGCATAATTGTCCTTAAACATAAGTCACAAATGCATGTTGAGATAATCGATAATCAAAGCTAAACACATGATTTTATACCAGAGAATAACAAATTTATAAAATTTCAGGGGATAAAAATTGATTATCAATAAAAAATATAAAAATTATATGAGAATTTAAAGTTTTTAAAGAATGATCACTCAACCCATTCATATCGATAATTATATTAAAAATATCCAACGAAATTAGCAGCAACAACCTAATTTATTAATAATAGAAGTTTAATAATATAATCTGATAAAATTAGAGATTTGTGGTTTATATAAAAATTAATTTTAAATTTAATAATTTAAAATATAAATGATCTGATCTATTAAACAAAAATAATATTGCATAACCATATCTGCTACCGCGGGACATAGTATCATTTCCCATCTAAAGTTATGACGGAGTTTGCGTGTTACTGAAACAACTGTATAAAGGCGCCACTACCACTTCCCTGCTACATTAATAAATAAAAAAACCAAAAACAATAAGACGGAAAGGGTTTGCTAAACTGAGCTTAAAATAAAAGCGATGAATGTCGGCTGGTAATCTCTTTAATTTCTCAAAGAATCTCTTCTTTTCAAGATTTATTTTCCCATTTTCTTCTTCTGATTATATTTTGACTCTGTTCTCTTTCTGGTGTCCTTTCAATCCATTTCTAGTCCTCTCGCAAGAAGATCTCGCATTTCCTCTGATGGAGATCTCACAATCATAGAATGAGGTTGTTCGTTTTAAGTTTTTTCACTCACATTTTCCTGTTTGGTTGCTCAAAAAGTTCAGTTTCAGCGTCTAAGCAACCGGAAGAGTGAGCGTCTCCGTAGAAGATTGAATCGGCTCTGACTAAGCTTAACTGTAATTTCCTTCTCTATGTTCCTTATTTTCCTGCCTTCTATCCGTTACCAAACGCAAAGTTTAATTTTTTGTTTAAAACATTGTCATTTACTTGAATATTTGCTAACAAGTTACACGTTTTGTTGCAGTAATTGGATCTCGTTGTTTCAATTAACTTGTTCTTCTACACATTATGTATTTATTTAGAAAATTTCTTCCAGAGATTCTATATAATTTACGTTTTAATCTCTATTTGTTACTGTCTTGTATGATTTTTCCGTCAAAGCTAGAATACTAAAATGTACTAGCAGTTTTGTGATTTTTTTAGATCATTGTTTCTACTGCTCATTGCAAATTTGAATTGTCAAATTTTATGCTTGTAGAATTGTTGGATTTTTGGAAATGAGTTGGAATCCACATATGGAGGTTCAATACATCAACAGTAACTACCCTTATAATAGTGCTGGCAGCTTTATGGAATATTTTGAAGGTCTTACTTATCAACATGTCAATTTTATTTTCAACGGTGCCACCCATGTCCAGGTACCGTTTATTATCAAAAAAAGTTTTTGAATGTACTAAAGTGATTCCTTTAATGTCTGTTCGTTTTCAAGAGCAAATTAATCAGATAAAAAACAGGCTGACTTTTCGGATGGGTTGATTGTAATTGATCCTCTGTTTAGATTATTGTAATTTGTTAACGGATTGTTGCTATTGATCACATCCAAAAGCTGAATTTCTTTCTGTAGGAGAGTGTGTACCCACCAATGAATTCAAACTTCTACAAGTTTGGCCTATCTGATTCTGGCAGTATTTCATATTATGATCATGATAATGATCATAGTTATGAGGTGAATGATCATGAGCTATGCATTGATGAATTTAGAAGAGCATCAGAGAATTCCTCATCAATGAGTAATCAACAGAGTGCAGCAATGAATGTGGAATGGGAAAGAAACACAAATGCAACTTCACGTGAAAACTCAGTAGATTGTAAGTTTCTCAATTCTGCTTTACGTTATTGTTTCAATTCTGTGTTTGAAGGTATGTAATATAATGCTAAAAAATATTTATAACGATGTCTATCATAACATGTATTTTTAGTATTAGGCAAAGTATTTATGTCAATGGTATGATTTAACATGCTATAAGCGTTAAACTTAATACCTCTTACAGTTGCTCTTTACTTCTCAAGATTGTTTTTCCTAGCCAGTGTTGCATAATCTGATGAATTTAATTTCTACCCGGTCTTTGATTTTCTATGGTGAATTGGTCATTAACGAATTGTCAAATTGTTTGCAACTTTATGCTTTCTCTGGATTTTATGATTGGATTGGATGCTGTGTTTTCTAACAATCAAGTTGTGGCATTCAGACAGCAACTCTGTTTTGATGGATTTTGAATTTTAAATCATACTTGATTGAAGAGAAATTAAGGATTCTGTGAGTCCCATGATCAGTTGCGTTTATATCTTGTTTGGTCCCAAACAAAAGGTCCTGGTTTAGCAGTTACAGCATTTTCAAAGCTGTCCAAAGAATCTGTTTTTCCTTGATGATAGTTTTTGGATTTTCTCCAAGATGGTCTCTCTCTCTCTCTCAATATCATGAAGTAAAATGTAGTCTTTTTCTCTGTTTCACCAGTTCTGGTCATAAAGTGACCACGATATTCTTATAACAATAGCTATCTAGGATTTTTGGAAAAAGTTTCCTCATTCTAATTCTTTCACTTTACAGGTCCACGGAGACAACATGATGCTCATGATTACCAGGTGTCTCTCTCTGACTGTTATTTTCTTCATTGAGTACATGTGTGCAACACCTTTCTCGTACTATGAATTTTCATACCTATATATGTCAGTAGATTATTTGCATCATCATCTAATTTTAGCTACTTCAATCTTCTAAGTTTTAGTGCTTTATACATGTTGAAGTTTGTCTCTATGCTTTTTCTACTAGTAGAGTTACAGAGGCTTAAATTGTAGTAATTTTCATTTTCATGGTTCGCAATGTTAAACGTTGCCAAAATATGCAGGTCATTTGGCAAGATTGTGTTGATCCTGACAACATGACATATGAGGTTAGAAGAAAAAAATTCCTACTTTTGTCTTCCCAGCTTAGTAGTTGCATTGTTTCTCCAGTTTTCTCAGTATCCTTCCGCTTAACTCTTAATATGGTGGAATTCTGAGTTCAAGAAAAAGAGAAACCCAATGCGGTAATTGGTTCAATGTTTGTCGAGATGCATTTGAAGATTAAACCTTGTGTTCAAGACCTAAGTAGTTGTCTGTTAGCAATGATGTTTTATTCCATCTTTCTATCTTTTTTTCTTTTCAATGTGTTTTTCATTAAGCCATGCTACGGACAACTTGACTTGTAAGATGTGAGATAGATCTAACTGTAAATGTTAAATTAACTATTGCTAATAAGTAGGTTAGGTTTGAAAATCAGGTTTTGGGGTTGGGAAATCTAAGGATGCATTTGACTGCTATGTGATTGAGACAGTTATAAAATAAAATAGATTCAGAGGTCATTTCTCTGCTTTAGTTGTTTGGATTGGCGGACTTATGAAAGGTGGAAATAGAACATTGAGTTTGGGTTCAGAAGAGGGTGAGGTGCCCACATGTTTTCAAAAGTGTTCTTAGAATTAGTAGGAATTTGACGTAAGACATGGAGTTTGTGGGTGGCTGCCAACAACTCCATATAAATGGGGGGGGGGGGGTGCAGGAGGGACTGTTATCAGCTCTCCGCCTCTACCCTGCTGAAAATTAATTAATGGGGTGCAAAAATTTTGTTTATGTGATGGGGGTGCAGGAGGACTGTTATCAGCTCTCCGCCTCTACCCTGCTGAAAATTAATTAATGGGGTGCAAAAATTTTGTTTATGTGATTATTCCCTCAATCAAGCACATATTCGTCCTTGGTTTTAGCTGCAAATGTTGCTTAATTTCAATACGTCAAAACACAATTACCAAGCACTTCTCTCAATATTTCATTGGGTTCATGAGCACCAAATCAAAATTGAACAAACCTATTTGGACATTTTCAGACGTTTATAGAGAACATTATTGTGATTACATTTATCACTTTAGGAATTACTTGAATTAGGCGAGAGTGTTGGAACACAAAGTCGGGGTCTCTCCCAAGAGCTTATTTCTTTGCTACCCGTTTCAAAATACAAGTGCAGCATATTCTCAAGGAAGAAATCAAAGAATGAGAGGTAGTGCATATGCTTCTACTTTTGTACCTGTTAAAATGTGATTCGTTATTTTTATCAGCTGCTGCTAATGTTATTCAACAGATTTTAAATTGAAATACAACCCTAGTTCTTCTTGACATAAATTGTACTGGTTTGCGAGGTCCTGTTAATATTTGTGATAATGCCTTGGTCTAATTAGTTGTGTATGAATACTATGCATGCCTTGCACGTTCTTCATAATACCGGTGAGCTGTTTCTAGTATATGGATTCCACTCCTCTCCTGTGGTCTCTTTCCCTTTCTCTCAGCCAATATGGTGAATCTCATTATTATTTTTGGGGACTAGATGTGTAATTTGCCAGATGGAATATAAAAGAGGTGAGAGACGGATTACACTGCCTTGCAAACATGTCTACCATGCTGGATGTGGCACCAAATGGCTTACCATCAATAAGGTAACCCACTGACTCATGATTGAAGCTTTATTCCATTTATTTAGGCAAGTATTTTAGGAAGCCTGCTAATTGAAGCTTTATTTCTCCAGGCTTGCCCTGTATGTTATACAGAGGTATTTGGCGATGGGTCAAAACATTAAGCGACAATCACGATGAACATAAACAAAATATTTGTTTGCTTTTGATCAAATTTGGATTTGGGTATTTCCCTTAATACCAAGATGTTCTATTTTTCGATCTTCTGCTTTGCTCGACGGAAGATTGATATTTGTTATTTTCCAATTATTGTTCGTTTCCATCAATCATTATCACACGCTTTTGAGGAAGTGATCAACCCTTTAATCACAAATGCAGACAAGTTTTTGGAGGCTTCCCACTTTTGAGCAATTGTTGAAAAAAAATCAGAATATTGAAATGGAAGCAAGAACCCACACCGTTTGTCAAAAAAAGAAGACGATAAAAACAATAAACAAAATATTTCATTATTTTACAAAATAAAATAGAATTTTCAAAAGAAAAAAAACCTAGTCAAGTGATGAATTATTTGAACTTGATACCGTCTTCCCATCAATTGTGTAAAGTAAAATGTTTGCTTTAAAATCATTCATTGATTAAATCTAGAAGAAGAAAATGGTGGTTGTTCTTATGTAAGTCAAATAAACACGTTATAGTTGATGAATGAGCAAGTTCCAAATTGCTGCTTCTACCTGCATGTTGATTTTTAAGCCGTATTATTATAGTGCAAAAATCATCATCAGACCTATTCTTTCAGCTTCAACGCGTTGGGGGGATTTTATTTTATACTTAGCTCAGTGGACCTTTTCTTTCAATGGCCATTCCATTGGTCAAACAGACCTAAATAGTTGAAGGGAAACAGCCAATTGTGATGGCGATTTGGAGTTTTATATTAAGGCCAGATGTTAGAAATATATTTAAATCCAGCTTGCTGTTCATATTATATCAAGAAATATATTTTATTCATGATTGAGGAGATGACTATATAAAGGGGGATATCTCTTGGAGTAAATTCAAAGTCATATTTTCTTTGCTATTAGGAATTGTATTGCCTGGAAAATGGGGAGTTCAGTACACCCACCGGGGCGGTTCCCTCGGCTCATCCTTGCTTTGTCATTTTGCCTTGTAGCAACGAGTGTGGTTGCTGATCACAAACCTTACGATTATTCTTCTCCACCTCCACCATACCACTCAAAGGACAAACATTCTCCTCCTCCTTACTACTACAACTCACCACCACCATACTATTACAAGTCTCCACCTCCACCGTCTCCCTCTCCACCGCCTCCTTATTACTACAAGTCTCCACCTCCACCCTCTCCCAGTCCCCCACCACCATATTATTACAAGTCACCACCTCCACCATCTCCTAGTCTCCCACCACCATACTACTACAAGTCCCCACCTCCTTACATTTACAAGTCACCACCACCTCCCTCACCTAGCCCTCCACCACCATACTACTACAAGTCTCCCCCTCCCCCTTCTCCTAATCCCCCACCACCATACTACTACAAGTCTCCACCTCCACCATCTCCTTCTCCACCTCCTTACATTTACAAGTCACCACCACCTCCCTCACCTAGCCCTCCACCACCATACTACTACAAGTCTCCCCCTCCACCTTCTCCTAGTCCCCCACCACCATACTACTACAAGTCTCCACCTCCACCATCTCCCTCTCCTCCACCTCCTTACATTTACAAGTCACCACCACCTCCCTCACCTAGCCCTCCACCACCATACTACTACAAGTCTCCCCCTCCACCTTCTCCTAGTCCCCCACCACCATACTACAAGTCTCCACCTCCACCATCTCCCTCTCCTCCGCCTCCTTACATTTACAAATCTCCAGCACCACTATCTCCATCACCGCCACCTCCTTACTATTACAAGTCACCTCCACCCCCTTCACCTAGTCCACCACCTCCATACAACTACAATTCACAACCACCACCATATCCTAGTCCACCGCCACCATATTATTACAAGTCACCACCTCCTTCTCCATCACCTCCACCACCTTATCACTACAAATCACCACCACCTCCTTCTCCGTCACCACCGCCACCTTATTACTATTACAAGTCACCCCCTCCACCCCCTTCTTATCACTACTAATCAACTATCCTCAAGTGAAATCTCCACCTCATTACTACGATACACGCTACTTAATCTATGTTATTGTTTTAATCTCTTCGTTCGGGTTGAAGATTTGATTTGGAAGAATAATAATTATTACATTTTCAGCATTCTTCGTTTAAGTAAATTGTGTTTGCTTTCTTAACAATAAGGGTCCAATGCTGATAAAGATCCTTGATGAATTCTTTGATAATGGATGTTCCCTTGTACTATTTTGTATCGGCTTCATAGTGATTCTTTGAGCATTTTTCCTTGTTAATTGAATTCCATATCGCGACTAGCTACAATACGTGCGGGGCATGAATTAATGCCCACAAAAATATCTTAATTTCATTTATAGCGATTAAAATTAAAATCTAAAGTTTTCATAATAAAATTGTAGACAATCAACAATAATCAAATGTTACTGATAAGTCAATTTTAAAAACCTGTTGAGTGATATTTAAATTTGGCATCAATCAATACTGTCCATAAATCATTAATCAAAGGTAAATTAATGAAATGTTCTTCTTCATGTAAATGCATGACATGGTTAATGGCATCATATAATTAATTTCCAAAAGTTTGCTGCTAATTAATTATTCTACGGACGCAGAGGCAGTCAAATTAACAGCAAACGATGATTATTGTTTTCTTATGTTTCTTCTCTGTGATTGCCATATCATTAATGCTTTTTAAAACTTCAAATTTTAACTCCCAACATTTCAAATTTTAGTCAAAATAGCTCGAGTTAGACGTTAGTTGACTAACGATCAATATATATTGCTGATGTGATATTGTCATATGTGTTTAGTCGATGTGACGTATATCACGTCATCATTTTAAGTGATATGTTACATGTAATGTCATCAATTAAACGTATATAAAAATGTTACGTCAACAACATGTGTTGATTATTAGTAAACTAATGGTTTCCATTCAACAGAGAATATTTTGATAAAAATTAAAATATTTAGAGTTAAAATACTCTAAAAAAGAATAAAAGACAAAATAACAATTTATACAGACGTTAGAAATTAATTTTATCATTATATTTAAAGAAAACTAACCGAAGGGGAAGTTCCAAGATGAGATAACGAGGATAAGGCCAAGAGGCTCAGGAACCAATTCAGCATATGAAAGCAGTGCAATTATAGGAAGTTTGGCCTGTTATTTCCACACACACACACTATATATATATATATATGTTCAATACAATTTGGACCTTTTACTATCTTAATGTTAATGATAAAGCCCAAGACAGAGTAGGCAGCGTGCAACTATTAAAACAAGGACGGAGTGAAGGGGAATTTTGTTTATTTTAATAATCTTAAATTAAACTACAATTAGAGTCGTACCTGCAAAACAAATAAAGAAACGGTGCGGACCTCTATGATGTCCGGGGTATCTTAGGGGCGGACTTCCATGGTATCCGGGGTATCTTAAGGGCGGACCTCCATGGTGTCTGGGGTATCCCAGGCAACCCCTCATCCAGGGGCGGACCTCCATAGTGCTCGGGGTATCCCAAGCAACCCCTCCACAAGTGTCACCCCTAATACAAGTGACACTCCTCAAAAGTATCACTCCTAGGGCTCTTGCAATCCCTAAATTTTTGTCATGGGTCCGCCTCTGATTATTTATACCTCATCTCGGAAAGCTTCGACTTAATGTTTCCTAAATCGAGGTTTAAAGCCCTCAAAATTTGAACCTCGTAATGGAGAAGAAAAGATTGCAAGGCTCGGAGCCGAGACCTCCTCCATGATATAGGTTTGGTGTTACCATTCCTATGACATTCCCTCATCTCCATTATCTCTCTCCCCAAATCTTTCTCCATTCTTTTTGTTGGACTATCTTCCGCTGCATTTTCCCCATTCCTGTCAATACATATTTATAAAGCTCTGTCATGGTTGCCTTAGCCCTCGGCCAATAGGGTGGGGACTTCATCAGAGCGACCAACTTCCCAACCCTTCTTTTTCTAGCGTATATTAATTGAGTGAAAATGAATAAGATAAACTACGATTATACACGAAACGTGTTTTTTTAAATATTTTTTATTTTAAAAAAATAAAAATAATATAATTTTTTAATAATTTAATGTGATTATAAAGTAATATATGTTCCGAATTTTCACATATTAACAACGATTACACTTGCTGTTGCAAATATAACTGCTCTATTCCAGAATCCCGAAAAATAATATTTCCTTTTATCACTAATTTCAGCCGATGAATTCTAACATGAATTTTTTTCATAATCAAAGGATACTTATTAACTTAAAAAATGATTATAATATGAGTAAAATACCAAATTAATTCCTCAATTATAGGGGTATTAATTTTATGAGCTCTTCAACTATAGAATATTATAAAATGATTATTTGATTTATAATAATAATTTTCACTCAATTATGGGCAGAGAGCTGGTGGTTTTCAACGACTGAGCCGCCGAGGAACATGATAGGTGCTCTCGATATATGGAAACCAACCCCGTCGACAGTTCGAAAGATCGGAGACGACAATCATGGGCAGAGAGCTGGTGATTTCAACGACTGAGCCGCCGAGGAAAGCAGTCGATGAGGTGAGCAACAATGAGTTTCGGTTTCACTGCTGAACGAAGGAAAACTGGGATCTTGTTTCAGATATTGGAGCCCCAAAAGATTGGGAATTAAGATACATCATCTGATCATTTTCTTCTTATTTCAACGTAATTTCAGGCCCTGGTGCTTTCGTTGTTAAAACAAAGACTTGCATTACAATTTCAGTGAATTATGTAATTTTCATGCAGTCCATGTGCACTCATTAATGACATTTTTTCTTTAGTACTCATTAATGACATTTGTACATAGGAGAAAGAGACAAGGAAACAGTCCAACCCCCTTTTCCTATCCATTATTAAAAAATGATAAAATAACTTCAGTGACGAAAATGTGTTATGATATATAATTTTAATAAATTTTTTTTGGATTTACGAAAATGACCAACAAATTCGCAACGCGAATTCTAATTTCGAAACACAAGTTCCAAAATCGCAATACGATTTTTCAAATTTGCAACGCGAATATGTAAATCGCAACGATAATATGTAAATCACAACGTCATTTTCCAAATTCGCAACGTGATTTTCTAAATTCGCAACGCGATTTTCAAATTCGTAACGCTAATTACCGATATAGATAAACAATACTATCACAACGCGATTTACAAATTCGCAACGAGATTTTCAAATTCGCAACGCTAATTACCGACATAGGTAAACAGTACTATCGCAACGCGATTTACAAATTCGCAATGAGATTTTTAAATTCGCAACGTTAATTACCGACATAGGTAAACAGTACTATCGCAACGCGATTTACAAATTCGCAACGAGGTTTTCAAATTCGCAACGCTAATTACCGACCTAGGTAAACAGTACTATCGCAACGCGATTTATAAATTCGCAACGATATTTTTAAATTCCCAACGCTAATTACCGATATAGGTAAACAGTACTATCGCAACGCGATTTATAAATTCGCAACGCTAATTACCGATACAGGTAAACAGTACTATCGCAACGAGATTTACAAATTCACAACGCTACTTACCGACATAGGTAAACAGTACTATCGCAACACGATTTTCAAATTCGCAACGCTAATTACCGATATAGGTAAACAGTACTATTGCAACGCGATTTTGGAAACTGTGTTGCGATTTACAAATTCGCGTTGCGATTTTGGAGTTTGTGTTACAAAATTAGAGTTCGCGTTGCGAATTTGTTGGTCATTTTCGCAAATAAAAAAAATTAGTTAAAATTATATATTATAAGACATTTTCGATCACTGAAATTATTTTTTATTAAAAAATTATATACGTATTTTATCCTTATAATATTTTTAAAAGCTGTCGGAAAATAAATAATGTTTCAACCAGACGGATAAAATTAAAAGGCGACAACCACCATGATCCAATTTAATAGTCACAATTCACTTTCATCTGTCGGGAGTAAATTTTGCTTACAACTTGTACATGTCAACAATTATAAAATAAATTCATTTAGTGTTGCAGTAATAAAAAATATATATAATGTTAAAAATAGTCCCTCAATATTTATTATAATAATTATTTTAATTTATATTTTTAGAGTATTTTAACTCCTAAAAACTCCTTATATAAATAAAAAATCATTAGTTAACATGTGATTAATGCTCTAAAATAGGAGTACTTTTAATCTTAAATGAAATGATGAAGGTTAAAATGCCTAAGAAAAAAAAATAAAAACCAAAGTGATTATTATGTCAAATGTTATGAGTTTTTAATCATAAAATGAAACGTTAGTTAAAATACTCAAAAAATAAAATAGGAAATAAAATTATTATTTTGATATTGGGGTTTAATTTTAACATTATGTCTAAAAAAATATTATTCTCTTTTGAAGTCTTAAATTTGAATAATTATATATGTAAGACATGTATTGTCAATAATTAAAAAATTATAAATAGATATTATCATTTTATAATATTTAAATAAAAATATATTTTTGAAAATATCAAAATTTAATCTAAATCGTCATTTTTATAAGTTAGCGTTGATGTGGCCATAAACCTAGCTAAACCTGTTGAAATAGCCTGATAATAACGATATGGAAAGTATTAGGCTTTTCAGACCTGAACCTGCAAATTATTGTGATGTGGCCCGATTCATCATGGAAATGGTGTGTGGACCATTGCTGGTGAGAAACATACAGCTGTGTAAATGAATCGAATTTTAATAAATAAGGTTATATATATATATATATAATATATATATATTTTAATATATTTATATTTAGTTTGTGTTTGTTTAAATTTTTAATATTTATTTACGTTTATTTGTTTATTTTTAAAGGTATTTGTATAGAATTCGTTTAGTGTTTATAAACATATTCATTTAACGTTCAAGAACAAATTTATTTATATGTTCAATTCATCAACATGTTCATTTAACGTTTGCATGTTTATTTGTATGTTCAAAAAATGATGAAATTATGTCATTAGTCCTTACACTTCTTAGACTTCACAGTTTGAACTCTAAAATTTATTATGTGTTCAATTTAATCTCTATCTTTATCAATATTTAAAATGTAAAAAATGAATAAAAAGAATAGAAGAACCGGATAAACAAGTTGATAAGCAAATTTATAAACGAGTTGAGCTTATTCGTGAACTTAAACGAATAGAATGTACCTCTGTTAGTATTTGTTACTTTATTTAAGAGATTCCTTGTCAAGTCTCCCATGGACGCAGAACTGCTGATTAGAAATAGAACCATTAAAAATTGTTTGCGAAGAAGTTTCGACCTTTTTAAAGGGCCTGGTTTAAAAGGTTCGAATCAATAGTAAAAACTTCGAGTTTTCCGGTCTGGTTGAAGATCTGAGCGCATACCGTAGATCACCACGGTATAGGTGGAATGCGACCTCGAAACAAGATTAATTCAGCACACCATATAGCAGCTGCTGTTCTGCTACCACTAACTTTTAGACAAGCTGTTTTTGCAAGTCGTCTAGACCAGATTGTTAAATACATGAACTCGTGTTGGACTTAGTTTAGTTGATTTATGTAACCACCTTTGGCATCCAACAAGTTTGAAGTTCCCTATACATTTGCCAAAGAAAATAGTTCAATGCACAAGTTTGAATCTCATTGAGCAATCTCAGCTTCAGTTCCCTCCATTAGAACCATCTGAAATGATGGGTAGTATTTATATACAACATTCATTTGTCACCATACGTTGATCTTGTCGATTTTACAGAGAGGATGCCTAATGCTAATAACAGAGATCAGAAAGAAATCAGATAGAGTAGGGTCCCTCAGCCAATCTTCTCGGTGTTTGTATCATCGGAGGGCGATGGGTAGTATTTATATACAACATTCATTTTGTCACCATACGTTGATCTTGTCGATTTTACAGAGAGGATGCCTAATGCTAATAACAGAGATCAGAAAGAAATCAGATAGAGTAGGGTCCCTCAGCCAATCTTCTCGGTGTTTGTATCATCGGAGGGCCAAACAACGGTCTCCATGAGCCGCTCGCGCATCAGTTCCAAGTTCTCGTCCGAAATCTCTTTGTATATTTGAGCATGATCGCATTTCTATACCAACACAACACACAAGGTCACAACATACGTATATATTCCGTTTGTGTAAGTATTATATATGCTGAAGAGACTTTTAATTACCTTAATCCATTTCCCATACAAATGAAGCCTTGTTATCATCACTCTTTCAGCAAGCTCTTGCCTCTCCTGTCATTTCCAGAGATGAGTAACCTCATTTCTCTTTGTTTTATTATATATAATACTTAATATTTTACATTTGTGTAAGAAAAACATTAAGAAGAAAAGACTCTTTGACGTCACCTTGCCAAGGATACGTAAGAAACGCTTGCCATCACTGGGCTTATTTGCTGCTGCAAACCTGACAAAATCACAATAAATGAATTAGACACCTTTCCTTTCAGCCAAGTTCAAGGTAAACAACAGGGTAATCAGAAACAGAACAAACAAGAATATATTTGTATAGAACACTGGACACCAGATATGCCACTTACTGATAGAACCATGTATATTGTGGTGGATTCATCTCATAGAGCTGATTCAGAACAGTCCTCACTGCTTTGTACGTGAAATAGTTGAGTAATTGCTGCAAAAAAAAAAAAAGGAAAAATCAGTCACCAAATAGCAAACTTATCAGAATTTACCAACATCTTACCATTTTAACATCCCCAAAAGTATCTTCATACTGCCCTCCTAAATTGTCGATGACCACGAGTTTTCGATCCTTACGTTGCTTCCTTGAACTCTTGTTCAGGGCACCAGGAATCATCTTGTAAGACAACCTCGAGTCATGCCATGAATTTACAAAAGAGCTGCGTAATTCCAGTGACCCTGGTTTTGCGATGGCTAGCTTTCTTTTCATTGAATTCCTCCTCTGCATGACCCACTCCCCACCTGGTTTGAAGTTCATGTTGGTGGATGGCAATGCATCCAAGCACAAATATGGAGCTGTTTGAGAGTCCATAACTGACGAACCCACCACAGACAAAGCCCCCACCATCTTTGTTTTCTGGGTGACCTGAGCTCAAAGTAACAAAAGTTGCTGATCAAGCCTCGAGGTTTATTATCCAAGAAACAAAGGGATACCAACTAAAGAGAATGATTTAGTTGGTATCCAAGAAAGTGGGGGTTTGAAGGTGGGGAGTCAAAGATTCATGCGCAAAGGGAAATGGGTCTTTGTTTTGTTTTTTTGGGGCAAAGGGAACGTGTGAAGAATGAGGTGCTTTTGTAAGGGTGGGTGAAGCTTAACCAGGCAAAGATTTTGAGGTCCAAAATTGTCCAACCCCGATTTGGTTAGAAAAAATACAACCGAAATCAAAGAAAACTTAGCTTGCATGTGTTTGATTATAGGGCTCCAACAAGTAACGACCACCTGGACGGTTGCCTGTTATTTGCCATCTGTTTGAATCTTGCCGTCAAAACGTGCTAAATCCATCAAGCTGTTACAACAACTAAAATTCGTTTTATCTTCTTCTTCTCCAAGTTCTTTAAGTAACTAATATTAAAAACATCTTTAAAAATGAATTTCCATGAAAAAAAACATATAGGACTGTATGAATAGAAAACAACGATAAATTGAAGGCTGTGCTTAATCTGGAACGGAGCCATTGTGCCCATGCAACTTTTTTTCTTCTTCTCTAACAAAGTAACACTGATCAGAGAGCAAACAGAAGCTGTCATACCCAGCCAAAACTTCTCCAAATCAAATATTAAGGCCCCTGTTCATTTTTCTTAGCAAACCTTTTTCATCCTCTCTGAAACGACCTATAACCATCGTGCTATTGTGTTATTTTTTAATCAACGACGACTTCAAAATACATTATTCATACAGGGACAGAGGGAGGGAAAATTAAAGTGATTATTTAAAAAAGAAAAAATTGAAGTGACATATATATTTCAAAGTGATTGAGAATTATATCGTTCAAATTTGAATAGGAATTGAATAAACAAGTAAATTAAAGATCAAATTATGATTGAGTTAAATATTTAATTAATAATGTTTAAAATAACTATTTTAAGACCCTAAAAATAAAAAAGTAGGGACAAGATTGAAGCCGTCGACGCGCCTATAGAAGGAGCAGGTGGATAAAAGCTGGAATCGTAACAGTAGGTGACGCGATCAAAGCTAACTCTCACATTTGAAAAAATAGGCAATGCCTGTCTCCTTGACTATCTGTTTACTGAGAGTTACAGAGAAACTAGGTATCTCTCTCTCAACAAAAATCCCCAAATTTAGGGTTTCTGTTATTCTCGGTTGCACGGTAAGTGTCTTTCTCGATTCCTTTTTTTATTGGTTTATCATATTCTGATTGTCTTCGGTTGTTTCCTTCCTTCTTTTTTTAACTTGGAATTGCAATTTGTTGTCTTTTTAAGGATTTTGAGAAATTTGTTGTTGATTTTGGAAAATTTAAGAGTTTTTGGTTGTTAATTTTGATGAATTTTCTTTATGTGGGGATTTTGGGTTCTGTAGGACGACAACAAGAGGGATTTTTCTATTTGAAAATTTAAATTTGTTGATTCCATGCAGAACAGGAAATAAGAGTTTTGAATTGTGCTTGAAAGAATATAGTGAAAAATGCTTAGCTTAGAGGAAGGTTGTAAGAGACCAAGGAAAGAACTTTGTTGGGACTTCAAAATGATTTTTTTTAATTTTCAATTTGATATTTTAAGATAATTGAATGTTGTTTGCAACGAGGTTGACTTCAACTACTTCCACTGCTGACATTCAAAAAATAAGTTTGGAAATGGTTTTCGGAAGGTTCCCTTTTTTTGGGTCTGGGTTTATAGATTCTGAAAAATGTTTCAATGTAGCTTCTTATTATTTGGTTAAGAAGAATAATTTGTTTTGAATTTTCTATTCAGTCTAAAAGTCTTTGTGGTTGTTGTATATTTGAATTAAGTTTTATCTTCAATTTGAAGCTGGCAATAAGAAATTGACTACTATTTGTGTGTATTAGGAGGAATGCAATTGAAGTCTGAAGGTGGAAGGCGATTAGAACCTGATCTGCATGGTGTTCCTCCAACTGCACTTTATTCTGAACCTTGGCGGCGTAATAAAGGTTATGTTGCCATCTTCCCGGGAGTGAGAGGAGGAAATGTGTCAAATTCATCTTCAGGGGAATGCCTTAATGGTTCAGAGTCAAATGATGGCCAGACATTGTCCAACGGTTGGGTAAACAAAGAGGGCAATGTTAATAAAGAAACACAAACTGCTACATCGTCTTGTTCAGGTACTTCACAGTAATACCTGTAGGAAATAACTACTAAAATTTCATATGTATGACCAGTCTTGAGAAGGTTTCTGATGGGTCATATTGTTTATCATTTCATGACTTTCAAGACTGTTCATGGATCTGTGGGTTATTCAAAATAGATATGCGTCAAGGTTCTGTCTACTATTTCATGTAAGCCTTGGGGACTTTCCAAATGCATTGGGAGTATTTAACAGACAGATCTAAGTGGTCTGGTACTCTAGTTTAGCATTTAGTATCCAGAAGCTGAGAAAACTGGTGTTTCATCCATTCGCGTAGCCTTACATGGAAACCAAAAATTATCAAGAAACCTAGTTCAAGACAATTAGTCTCTCTTGAAGGTTATAACTAGATAAGCCAAGCTGTGGTAGTAACATTTTCCATGCCCACCATGGAGCATTAGTTGCCATAGCATGTTGGTTTTTGCTGGCTCTTATTATTCCTTTCATCCTACATATTTTTGGTTTTGGTGCTAATGTATTTTTCCTCTGTTCATTTTCAGTTGGAAATGATGGACAAGAACATCTTAATTGAAGCAGCATGTTGCATCTACCATGCCTGCTACGCATGATGAATGCTTCACACAGCCTAGCCATTCAATTGTAAGTGCATCAGGCTCTAGATTTTTTTGACATACAGTTAGAGCCTTAGATGTCATAGTTTCAGAACTTGCTATGGAAGAATCCCTAGCTTTCTTTCAATCTTTTTGCAGGTATGTGCATCAAATCCTTATCAAGATCCATTTTATGGAGGAATGATGGCTGCTTATGGACATCAGCCTTTGGTATGGAACCCTAGTTTGTTTGATCTATACGGTCAATTCAATATGCTTTCTGATATTATAATTTGATCATTCTATTTTACTTTTGTATTGAAGATATTTTTTCCTTTAGTTTTTGGCCCCCCCCCCTTCTCCTCCTCCTCTTACATAAACACATATATGGATTCATAAGCACATGGATATATGCATATGTACAGCCTTACATATATTATAGATATACATACACGTGTGTGTGCAAAGACAGAACATAATAGTTGTGAAGTCATTAGTTGGAATGAACCTGGCATTTGCCCTCTCCTGAGGCTAGCATAAGGATGTGTATGTTCATTTTTGGGGATTTAGATTCTGGAAAACGTCTTGCGGCAACTCCCTAAGTTGAAGGACTTTATTTTTCCCTTTTGTACGTATAGATCTTAAGGAACCTTGATTAGTATGTTTTCTTACCCTGTGAAGGGGTAGTTTACCCAATCAATTTATATGAGCCAACCCATTATTGTTTTTTACAAGTCTCTGCTTGGCAAAATGTCTCATGTTTTATGCTTAATGCTGCTCATGCTAGCTGGGTTTGAATGTTTCAATGGGCTTTTTATTTTATTTTTTCATTTACACCTATATTCAAACCAACTCTACATCCTGGGCTAGCCAATGCCAGTATTAAAAAGAACGAAATTGCTGAAACTAAATAAAATATGTATCATGTTTGAAGTTCACAATTAGGTAGTTGGAGACCTATATTTGGCTCTAAATTCTGTTCTCCTTAGTCTTTTCCTAGGTGTCCAGTTTTGCAGGACAGTATCCTCGGAGACTTTGCTGATTAGATGAATAGAGAAACATGCTTTTGAATTTCAAGTTCTTTGCAATCCTTTATGGTTAGTGAACCATTGCTCCATGATACTGACTTTTAAGTTTCCTTTCTTCCTATGAAAAAGAAGAGGTGGTTGGTGAGCATTAAAAAATGGCTGTTATGTTTTACATGTTAGTTTGAAAGGATTTTCTTCTTTCCTTGTTTTGGTAAGTGGGTTGTTTTCCGTCCTTTGCTTTGCCTTTCCCCCCCCCCCCCAAACTCTTTCTTCTTTTGTTTGGCGTTTGATATTTTGGGGATTGACATTTGACTCAAGGAAAACGGGGAAACTTACTGGGTCTTAGATTTTACGTATGTTAGCGGGCATCAGTCACCTGCTTTTCTTCTGTTACTGCCTTTTTTGTTAATAAATATAGTGAGAGAAATCTCTGTAGCAAGATCATCAGTCACCTTCTTTCAATACTCGACTATCAAAACAGGATATACTTTCTCAGTAGTAAATGTTTGAAATGACCAGGGTTATCCTCCATTTGTTGGAATGACCCGTGGAAGAATGGCTTTGCCAATTGAGAAGGCACCAGAACCTGTTTACGTGAATGCCAAGCAGTACCAGGGAATTTTAAGGCGAAGGCAGGCACGTGCCAAAGCAGAACTTGAGATGAAGGATATTAAAGTCCGAAAGGTAGATATATATACCTGCATACTCCTTCACTTGGTCAATCTATGCACTTTATCAAGAGATTGTCAAATAATTATTTCCTTTTTAATGTTTCACATTGAATTACATGCTTATTAGAGTTTGAATGGTGACCTAGCGAGACGCATGTTATTTTCATTTTATTTAACATGTGGTTCTACTTTGGTTCCAAATGCATGGCATCTTGCCTTTATCCTTGTAATACCTGCTCTTCAATATCCTACAGCCATATCTTCATGACTCTAGGCATCAGCATGCTATGCGCCGGGCGAGAGGTAGAGGAGGGAGTTTCGCAAAGAAGACAGATGCTAATTCTTCAAAACAGATGGAAGAAGACATAGGAACAGGGTCGGGTCTTGCTCTATCATCTCAATCTGCTAGTTCAAGTGGTTCTGAACCATTTCCAGTTGATTTTGTGGAAACCTGGAACTCCACCCTCAGCCAGAAGGAAGCAAGAGGGTCCCTTATGCATGGCACCCATCATATCAACAGCAGTGGTCATTATCAGAATCTTGGGGGTACCATCTCCTCTAACCAGGCCTCTCATAGGCCTCTTGCTATCCAGTGAACAGAGAATGCCCCTCTCAGAAGCCTAAGGGTTTAAGACTGTTGTCCATGATCCTCATCTTGACACTAGA